CGGGCTGACAGCAACAGTTATAGTGTGCGCCCAAAATTTCGGTGGGACCCCAACAACTTTTTACTGGGAAGGTGGAGTGGACGAAGGGACAGAAGTCCTTATGCAGCAGTCCATACAAAATATCAGCAGAGCAAGGGGGGTCAGAAAATGAATGTGATGATTTTAAATTGGGTACACAACAGTTATACACTTTTTATTACAAAACAAACTCAAATTCCTGTCTCAGTCCCTCCAGTCCTCCAGAGTTGAGTGTACCTGGATCACAGATGCAAGGATATATCTTCCTTCTACAGCGTCTCTGAAACCATGACTCTCCTCCACAGAGTCAGACAACAATATAACACGAAAAACAGAATCAGCCTCTCTATAATAATATATATATATATTAAAATATATTTACTGAATTGATTTGTAACATTTTTTACATCTATAGATATAGAAACATAGATGCTGCGTTATCAATTTGAAGTGTGTCTGTGCAGTCGCCATATTGCGGAGGTCAGATCTGCTATATAACAACAGAGAGAATCAGACTGTAACTCACTAGATACTGATCTGATTTTAATGGTGTTTGGTTTGTTATTAACAAACCTGATGATGGTTTCTGGTTGGAATTAATCAGCTCTCAATTTATAACAAACCAACATTCATGAAAATGGGTTCAGAAATAAGCAAGATACAGTCTGAATCTTTCAGCATTGTTAACTGACCTCCGCAAGATGTAAAGCAGTGGCCAGTGAGGTGTCTATGTTTCTTTATCTGTGGATAGGACAGGGAAGAGAGGTGATACACAAATGTTACCTGCGGTTCGTCCCCATCCTGAGATGCTGCAGGTGTGGTTGGGCTGGAACAGGTGAGTCGACCAGGGAACGCAGACAGCGCTCACGGCCGGGTTGTCCTCAAAACATTTCTCCAGGAAGGGAAGTTTCTCCAGCTCCACCAGAGCGATGTCGTTCTCATAGGAGCTGGCGTTGTATCTGCAGGAGATTAAAAACAGTTAGATAGACAGACAGACAGACAGAAAGACAGACAGACGGACAGACAGATAGATAGACAGATAGACAGACAGATAAATACTTAGGGTGGATGTGAATGTCTGCCACAGGAACGATGTCGGTCGTGCCCTGAGCTCTGGACTTCTTCCAGAGAGAGAACTTCACCCTGAAGGCAGACGGGTTGGGCCTGGTGGAGAGAGACGTTGAAAGACTATAACTGTCACTACTGAGAGCGAGAGTGAGTCACTATTTTGGGTTTGGACATTAGAGGATTAGACTAATTGCGTCAAACATCATCCTACCTGACGCAGTGAGCCGCAGTGATTACCCAGCATCCTCCGATATACGCGCCCCCACAGTCGATCTTCCGGTTCTCTTCAAGCGCAATCTGCCACTGGATCTGAGTCTGCAGAGTGGGAACATCATATAAACCAGCGGGTTGTTTTATGTCTTGAAGCTGAAGCTGATGTAAGATCATACAAAGGTTGTTTGTAACTGACCGGTTTTGCTGGGACTCCCCCCACAACTCTCTTAACTCGGCTGCTCCGTCCTCGCTCGTTCACCTCCTCATCGTCCACATTGGTCATGTTGGGAATCCCACACATCAGCGAGGACTCCAGAATATGACGGCTGATCCTCGTTTCTGGAGAGAGACGTGATTGGATGACTTAATCTCAGCCGTGATCTAAAGATATCAGATCTGCTGTAAGTGTCACTGTTGAGGTCACATACCTTCTTTGGGACTGACGTACACTAAAAGGAAAAAAACAAATGTCACTACCATCACTACCATTAACAACAACAATAGTTTGCTCTCAAAGGTTCAACCTGCTGCTGTTTAGGCGTACTTGTGTTTTCAGGTAGTGGTTGCGACCGCACGTGCTCTGTGGGAAGCAGAAATATATTACTAATAATGAAAACAGGGTGCAGAAAATAAGACTGATGGAGGTTAAATGTCAGAACTACTTCGTTAACAACATAAAAACAGCAGACAGAGCAAACAACTGTTGGCCTATTTCCTAAATTCAACCCTTTTAGTCACTTTTAATATCGAGGTTTGCCTTTAAGGTCCGTTGGATTACCACAAAACCATCAACGTTATTGGTTGAGATTTTATATTGAACACAGAACTGAAATCAATCAGTAAAAAGAGCAAAAGTTTCAGTGATTTCCAAAATGATATGGATGAAGTTTATAAAGTGTGTGAGCCTGTTAAGGTAGTTTTAGGGCTGGTTTCTGAGCGTGTGCCTGATCTGGAAGCCAGTTCCTTTGCGTTGAGACAGTCAAAGAATCTGCTCTTGGTCGGGAATACCAACACAGAACCAAGAACCTCAGAGTTCCCGCTAGTTACACCAATCATAGCAGTCCCTCGTACAAAACTTTAAGCCGTACGTCACCAAACTATCGATTTTACTCTCACTAGAACAAGTTGTCGTCTATTTTTAATGATTTATACAAAAAATTGCAACTATTTTTGCTATTTCTTTGCAAAAGCGCCTAAAACATTGCAACATGCGTCGCAATTTTTTTGTCAGAACAATAAAATAACATCCAGTCTCAGGTATTTTAGGCCCCTACAATCCCCCCAAAAAGCCTTTAGATTCCTGAGACTGAATGTTATTTTATTGTTCTGACACATTCACACATATATTTAAACTATAACATTAATACGAACAACAACTAGTCGACTAGCAACAGTTTTAGTCAAGGACAGCCTAACTTATTAGTTAGCGTAACCTTGGTAACAACAGCTAGAGTTGGATACAGCAGCGCAAACTGGTCCAGAACCGGCACTATGTTCACCTTGATGGCTAGAGCGTGTGTGTATCTCACTGTTGCCCATTGTGTGTTTCTTTGATTCGTCCTCGCCATCCAGACAGTCGATATGTCCGTCTCTAAGTGCGTCTCGATCCACACACACACCAGTCTTACAGCGGAAAGCCTGGTTCCTGCAACCTGACAAATACATCATGAAAGAGACCCGACGAACTACTAGAAGTCACAAAAGATATTTAAAGTGCGTTCAGTTTACTTTTGCAGCACATCTCGTCGCTGCGGTCACCACAGTCATCGACTCCATCACAAGTCTGGTTCAGAGACACACACTTCCTGTTTGCACACATGAAGTCACACTCGTCCTCTAAAACACAAACAAATGTCACAATACTGGAAAACAGCTAACAGAGCTTCTGTTTATCACAATCGTCAGTGAAAGAGAATGAAACCAGTAGGTACTCACCTTTTGGTGCGTTCGATTCGACGTAACAGGTTACCGTAGCGACCTTCCTGTTGCCAAGGGAGACCCTGTCGTAGATTACACACTCAGCGAGGGAATTCTCGTAACCTTGGCAGCGGACGCTAACACATTCGTCTGGGAACTGCCCGCCGAGGGATTTGTGTTTTATGAAATCTGCCTTCGCTGCTCCGCTGTAAACACACAAAACTCGTTCTGGCTTATTGTTGTTTTTTGTTCTACTAGTCCTGTAACGTCCACCACAACAACACAAAGTCCAAAGCTTGTGGAACATAGCTCTCTTACAAAAGAATCGATTTTTTAAAAACTAAGTGTCTTTTATCGAGGGCTGTGTGTTCTGGCGATACCATACGTATCACGATACATGAGTTACACTTCAATATATCCTGATATATATGATCCGTGATATAATGCAGTTCGTATTGATTACAGTCCTTGTAACATTCAACTAAACTAAATCGAAATATTAATGCAGTGTTTTTGAGTATTGATACAATATTGCAACTATATTACAATATTACAGTCCTACTTTGACCGTGATAATATCATATATCGTCCCATCCCTAGTGCGCATTGTATTAATACATCTCCTCTCACAGTCGATGTCCGTGCTCCTTGCAGAAGACGTTAGCAGTCGCCATGTTCCACAGCTTCCAGCACACCAGCAATTTCTCCGTACTGGTGCTTCCAGTCTGAGGAAGGTTGACCATTACCACTCCCGTCTCTTCGTCCCGTGAACTCGTGAACTTTTCGTAAGGTTCTGTGGTGAGAGAGACTTGTTAAAGGTGACAGAAGTTATATAAATACACATACTACAAAGCCCTGAACGTATCCGTGAGAGCGAACCTCCGCACTTCTGTCCAAAGTGAGACATGACGGGTCGTCTGACGCGGCACGAGTAAGCCATAACCTGGAAAACAGATTTAAAAACTGCTTTAATGACATTTACTAACCTGTTGAAAGGGCGACACTACCACTGCATTCCCACCAAAAGCAACAATAATATTCACCCTTTAATCTGGTTTACAGCTGTGGTATGAATAAACATATTTGGCTGTGATTTAATGAACGGATCAAAATGATACTGAAATAACTGCATCATAATGGCGATTAGCAAAAAGTCTGAATTCAGACTTTGTTGGGTCTGTGCGAAAAACGATGAGCAAACAACTTTTAAAATGCTTGTTTTCTGAATGGAGTTTGGTTGATCAGGGCTATGCTAAAGTAAAACCAACAG